AGACATCACTGGAACCTGACTTACAGCCTTACTTCCCAATCCGCCATGAACTCGCGGTCCTTAACGAGTGCATTGTCAGAGGTACACATCGATTGCTAGTGCCTGAGTCGTTGCAGAAAAAACTCACTGACATAGCTCATGAATCTCACCAAGGCATTGTACGTACTAAACAACGCCTGAGGGAATTGTACTGGTGGCCCAAAATGGATTGTCACATAGAGACACTGATAAAGAATTGTGCAACGTGCCGACAGAACGACAAGTCCGCCGTCACCCATGATGCTCCACTTCAACCCATTCCTTTACCGGCTGCTGCTTGGGAAAAGGTGTCTGTTGACATCATAGGCCCTTTTGAAATAGCCCCTTCTGACTGTAGATTTGCCATTACATTGGTAGACTATTTTAGTAAGTGGCCTGAAGTAGCTTTTGCTCCCCGAGCTGATGCAGGTACTGTCATTCAGTTCCTTTCCGTAGTTTTCTCTCGTGAAGGGAATCCAAAGACATTGATAAGTGACAATGGCTCTCAATTCATCTCTGCTGAGTTCGCTGACTTCCTCAAAAGTAGGGGGATCCAACACCTGAGGTCCTCAGTGTATTACCCAAGAGCTAATGGGGAAGTGGAGAGATTCAATAGGTGCGTTAAAGACTGCCTACAGACTGCCTCGATTCAAGGTCAACCCTGGAAATCGTTCCTGAGAACTTACCTGATGGACTACAGAGCAACCCCTCATTCTACAACTGGAGTCTCCCCTTCAGAACTGCTCCATGGACGCCGAATGAGAACAAAGTTACAGGTAATAGATATGCCTTTTCCTCAGACAGAGAGGCAGACCATGTGCGAAAGAGTTAAAGATAAGCAATTGAAAATTAAGGAATACACTGATGCTCGCAGACGCGCAAAATCATCCAACTTTCAGGCTGGTGACAAGCTACGGGTTAGGAAGCCATGGAAGGTAAAGAAAGGAGAGTTAAAGTTTTCTAAACCAAAGACTGTCGTGACCAGGAAAGGACCAAATACTTATCTGCTGGATGATGGACGGACCTGGAACGCCTCACACTTATCGGCTCTGTCAGGGCTGAACACAGGTACTGATGCTGACACAAAAATGGACTGTCATAAACCAGGAACTGATCTGGCATCTAACTCTGAGTCTGATAGTAGGCTTAGGCCCATCAGGATGAGAAAGCCACCTTGCTGGACCCAGGACTTTGTTATGGGGAAGTGAGTGTACTGAGTAATGTTAACGTGTATTAGGTGACCTACATCAGAATGATGAGGCTTAGTTCACATAAGGAATCCTTGTTCAAAAGGGGAAGATGTTGTGTCCACATACTGTTGCATGTGTTCTGTAGATGCATTTACTAGAAGCGCTAGAGGGCACTAGTAAGTACGTTGTGGTTGTTGAAGTAAAAAAAAGAGAAGTGAAGAAGAGTGAAATAAAGCGGGAGTTATCTCCGGTCCTCTGTTCCTACTTACGTGTGTGTGTAATGCTTGCTGGATTAGAGGCACACAACAGTGTTTTGCTTTGTTTATGCATGGTTGCAAGTGTAAATTTCACCAGCAAACCAAAGGACTTCCAGAGCATCTCAGGGTCACATCTGGCAGGAATGTCTTCATATTTCTGCTAACCCTGTGGCCTCTTAAGAGGATACTTTATTCTCTTCAACTTAGACCAGTTTCTTTGATTTAAAGACTATTTAAATTTGTCAACATTGTTTAATTTAATTCTGAACTAATTAACTTTTTTGTTCATGATGGCTGAATAATTTAGAAAAAGATAAAACTTACGTCAAACCAAATAAAAGTTTGGGTCCCGTAGGGTTTGGTGTGAAACTGACATGGATTCATCTTTAGCTTATCAGCTCTGTGAGATGTAATCCATTTCTTCAAACATAGGCCATTCAGTAAACCATGACTAATAGGAATTATTTAAAAGTTACAAGCACACTTGAACATAGCCACAAATATCCTCATGAAATAAAATAAAAAGTCAGCATCTGGTTTAACAATTAAACAATTAGAAATGAGAGAAAAATATCTAATTTTCTTTTTTAATAATCAGAATGACTTGATACACAAGCAGAGTAAGAAAATGAATACCTTGAGATAAGGTAATATTTCATGTTGTGATACAGAATGGATATTTAAAAGCAGTTTATTGATTTTTTATTATTGAAATGCAAACATTTAAAGTATTTATTTTGTGTGGTGTAGTTAAAACTCCAACTGTAGGTGGCAGCAGTTATTTCCGCCTTTATTCTGATGGAATAGCGTTCTTGCAATAAAACTGGAAATGTCTTGGAAGTGTCTGGCCTGAGTGATACAATTACGTTTAGTCTCAAATCTGCAATTATTGGGTGTTTCTCAGTGTCAAGGCGCCTGGCCTAGCGAGGCGATGTCTTGCGAGGCCAGGCGCCTTGCTTACGAGGACGCTGTCCTTCCGTGGTCTAAGAAAACGGTTAAATGGAACGGACTTGCATCACGTGACCGCAGCTTCCACGGCGGTCACGTAACGTCACGTGACATGGGAGATAACGTTATATTTTATATGTATTAGTTTCAATATATAATGAGCCTTTTACTTTTTAAATTGTGTATATGTTTATTCAATTTAATATATAAATGAGTTACTACCAGCTAGCCACCGAAGCTGCAACTACTAAGCAACTAACCAACAATAGATAACATTTTAAATTAGTTGACTTAAACTTGAAAATTGTCCCTGAAGTAGCTGCCAGCTTCCGATCCGCCGTCTTTTTGAAAATACTGCGGTGTATTGTGGGTAATTTTTGGCCAAGGCTAGGCTACAAGACACCTCCTGTGTGTCCTTGCTCAGCTTGCTAAACAGCTAACAAACGGAGAACACACGCCTCGGTAGAACATGAACATTGGAACAGATTGGAACACGTCTTGGCGGCTCCTGATGACGTATCTCCTAGGCAACCGGGGCGGGGCCAAGACAACAAGGCAAGGTTCCTGTCTGGCTTTCAATTTTGCAATATAATGTATTGTCTCCCCTGTATGGAGAGCCTAACAGGCTGTATGCCACAAACCCCTGGGTTCACAATTCCTGACTTTTAGCCACCTAAAGCGTTTCCGGGTCACAGTAACGTTAGTGTTATCCATGATATTTCCACGCTATCGCTGCAGGACCTGTCGAGGATGACGTTCAACAGCGTACACGAGGATTTAGGCCACGTCTAAGATGCCCCAAGCAAATAAAGACAAAGGTTTTAAATTACAAACATAGTGAGAAAGCAATGCTAACATTAACATTGTTAGTGTTGCTTCAACACTGATAACTTGACTAGTAAAAAGCTAGCAACCCAAAGCAAAAGCTTGTTTTTTTAAAAATGAATGGGAGTTTATGGAAGGATAAAAGACATTTTCTGATCCTGTTTGAAATGTGCCATGGATTTAGGCAACGGTGGCACAGGAGTTAAGTGCTCGCCCCGTTATCGGAAGGTTGCAGGTTCGAGCCCCGCTCAGTCTGTTGCTGTCATTGTATCCTCGGGCAAGACGCTTAACCCACCTTGCCTGCTGGTGTTGGTCGGAGGAACCTGTGGCGCCAGTGCTCAGCAGCCTCGCCTCTGTCAGTGCGCCCCAGGGCAGCTGTGGCTATATCGTAGCTCATCCCCACCAGTGTGTGAATGTGTGTTCTAGGACTCTAGAAGGTGCTATATCAAATACAGGCCATTCATTTAATTAATAGTGTTCATGAATTTAAAGATACATTTTGATGGCAAGAAAAAGCTTATTTTCAACAAGCAGCAAAAATTGAAAGGACGTATAGGACTCCAACCGCTCCTCTCGCCAAGTTTATGTCATCAAACCAGAGGAAGGAAAATGTAGCTGTGGGGAAGTCTTTTAAGCAACTTCTGATTTGTAGTCATTTTAGTTATGTTTACAAGCTAATAAACCTCAAATTATGTGGCACACACAGCTGAAACACACAATTACTTATCATTTAAACACAAGTTCATGTTGTGTGAGTCAAGGCGTCGGGCAAATCAGACCAGAAAATTACTTTTTTTTTTTTTTGTTCAGGTGACCCCATGAGCCGACCAGAAGGGCAGGAGACTTATCCCTATTGTGATATGTATCGTATCACCAGAGTATGTGTTGTAGATTATGTATTATATGTATCGTATAACCAGATTACGTATAATAGATAATGTATCGTAGATTATGTATCAAATGTATCATATCAGCAAACATCACCAAACAAAAAACTTAAATACATTTCCGTAAACACTTTTTCAGCTGGCTTAAAGAGAAAAGGCATTAAACTTTAATCAAAAGCCACGTGAAGAAATTGTGTTGTAATTAATTTACCTGCACTGTGGGAGTTGCAGATCACTTAATGACTACAAACATGGAGGATGAGCTGCCTCCCCTAAAGGGCTTCGTTTATCAGTGACAAAGCAGTTCAGCAGGTTTCACCTTCACCTGTCCCACCATCTAACCTGCAGGAACACTGGTTGAGCATGCTCTGTCCACAATACCGCAGCATTCCCTAAAGGGTTCGTTCACTTTTTTACAACAGGGCTTTAAGATCAGTTCATAACCTCCTATTTTTTACCCCAGATTGAGCTGGAGGGTGCGCTAGGGGGGCCACTAGGTACCAGATCCCAAGGCACTCACTATGATTGACTCGGATGTGTCAGAAAACACTGCAGGAGCTTCTCTCGTGGTGGTTCTGACACCACATCCTGTCAGGGTGGATTAAAAACTGAGCAACATCTTATTTCACTCATAAGATGCAGGTTCGCTCTGAACATTCAATGGAGTTCACACTTGTGCGGTGTGTGAGGTCATCTGAGGACAGCATCATCTGGAATGAAACTTTTCTAAGTGGCTTGATGGAAATCAAACAAATGTCATTAAGGTGACGTCACAGGTGTTATTTGGCTCTGACTTTTTCACATTAAAAGCTTCCAAACGTTCAGGTGTCACGCTGCTATCTACGGCCTGCCCTGAGCTCCCATAATCAGCTTACCAGGTTGAACACGGTTTCCACGATGTCTCGATTGGAAACTTCCCCAACTTCCACCAGGCCAGCCAGCACGGCGAATTTCATCCGGATGCCCCTGATGGGCACCCCTGGGGCGAGCGCCGCGCCCGGGCGCTCGTCCTTCCCTCCAGCCGGCTGCGAAGCGGCCGCAGTCTCCGAGCTAGCCATTTTGCTAAGGAAGAACGGGACAGGTGACGTTCACAGGTAAGGCACCTGTTCACCTCCAACGGTGAGCGTGCACGCAGGGAGAACGAGAGGGCTCCGTCTCCCTTTCAGCAGAGTTGTGGACTCTACAGGTACATAACCAGAGCGTCCTCCTTCCCGCCCGCCCGAACCGTTGTTGGTCTCTGGCGTGGACTCGGGTGGGTTTGTCCTCGGTAGAGGCTGGAAATGTCACCGCTTCGCCACAATGAACTCCTCTCTCTCCCTCTCCGCTCCGTAACTTGATGCCGGACGGAAATGAATGAACGCCGTTAGAGAAATGTGTCAGCAGGGAACACGGAGAGGAGCAGGTGAAGCAGAGTTCCTCCTCTACCTGTCCAGGTCTCAGGACGCAGGCACTTAAACGTCCCCTCCGTTCAGCTGTGGAAGTTGCTCCTGTCGTCCGAGTCCGGGGCTCGGTAGGCAGATCCACAAACTCAAACCGGAAGGGGTAAGTCCGTCATTAAGAACGGTGGAAGCCGAGAAAGGACGGAGTTTCGCGCAGTGCTCGCAGGTTAACTCGGCAGACACGGTGAACTGACAACGGTGAGCCAGCTGCGCTGCATTTGCTTCCTGATCCACTCAGGTGTTGTGTCGAGAAAAGCCTCTCTGTCGGGATGTGCCTGCCTTGTAGCGGGAACGCGCATTTCTCACTACTGCCTGGGCTGGGGGCGTGAACGTGTCCTACAGGAGGTGTACTTTATGGATCATCACTGAACTGTAGCTGAATAATACACCTGATTAGTGAAAATCTGTGCATCAGTTTATCACACAAGAAAATATTAATGTGTCTCCTTGCCTGACACTTAGGGATTATACCGTGTTGGCTTATATTTAAATAATTTTTTTGCTTAATTTGTGAGTTTTCAAACCTCCAAATGTGCGTCTTTAAGCTGTGAAATGCTGAACTGTCTGTGAATATGTGGAGTGATGCGCGTTCACGCGACAAGGCTAGCAAATCTATGTTGGCATGCTTTTTTCGGCACAACACCTGTAGCTTCAGCTCGTCCCCGCCATGACAGTGTAGCTCTTGAGTAAAGGGCGCATGCGCGTTAGTGAGTGGCGCTTCGTTTCAGTGGCAGGTGAGCCGCTCAGGTGGCTTTTAGCTGCGATGGGCTTTTGTTTAGTTCAAGATTCAAACACGCAGCCTTTCCGGAAGCTTTTCAGCTCCTTAAAGTAAACGATGGAGGCGGGGTTGAAACGCTGTGACCCAGAAAAAAAAAGCACTTTTAACAAACTTTTGGCAAAAATCGGCCAGGTGACTTACCTTTCTCTACAGAACGGATGATGGCCTCTTTTGCACATGCGCCTGAATTGTGTCGAAATTAAACAGCTTGAACATGATGTCTTTTTTGTTGTTATTTTAGAAAAAAAAAACTTTTATTCAGAAAATAGCTTAATAAAATATTAAATAAGTTAGGTAGTTATTGAATATTATACAGAAGGTTGACCGAGGACTCTTGACTGAGTGTAACTTATAGACAGACAGAGAGACAGATACATACATATATATATATATATATATATATATATATATATATATATATATATATATATATATATATATATACCATGATATATGGTATATATATATATATATATATATATATACATACATATATACATATATGTATATATATATATGTGTATATATATATATATATATATATATATATATATATATACATATATGTATATATGTATGTATATATATACATATATACATATATATATATATATATATATATATATATATATATATACCATGATATATGGTATATATATATATACATACATATATACATATATGTATATATATATGTGTATATATACATATATGTATATATGTATGTATATATATATATATATATATATATATATATGTATATATATATATGTATATACATACATCAATGTAAATCGATACCTTGTCCACAATTCAAAGATTGATATCAGATAACTATCAAATGCACTCTTATTTTGACCATTGCTTTATTTTGAAGTTCCACTGACATCTTCTCTCCCCTGGTAAATAATTGAGATGAATCACTTGTAATAATTCATATCGATCGGTGGATCCTAAATCAAATCAAATCCCAAATCACTAATGGATAGGTAGGTAGGTAGGTAGGTAGGTAGGTAGGTAGTAGGAATGTAGGTAGAAGGTAGGTAGGTATTAGGAGGGTAGGTAGGCAGGTAGGTAGGTAGATAGATAGATAGATAGATAGATAGATAGATAGATAGATAGATAGATAGATAGATAGATAGATAGATAGATAGATAGATAGATAGATAGGTAGGTGGTTAAGTGCATTCTTTAAAAAGTTCAATCGACAGTAACAACAATGAAATGTATAAATGCACCTCTTGTGACATCAGATCTAAAGAGTACTTCTGACTTCAGATTGCTGTTTTAAACAGTAATTGGGTTAAAGTAATAATTTTAAGTCAGTTACATTTGCATCACTGAGCTTTTAGTCACTGGCGAGCCTATGAGGCAACAGTCATACATTCAGCTTGCAGAAGATGGGATGGATCTGCTATGGTTACTAGAGAAAAAGGTATTAAAGGTGTGGAACACTTGTTTGATCAATACATTTACCCTGATCTGTAGTAGGAATCAATGCCTTGTAAGTTACACTACACTCTCTCTCTCTCTCTCTCTCTCTCTCTCTCTCTCTCTCTCTCTCTCTCTCTCTCTCTCTCTCTCTCTCTCTCTCGCTCTCTCGCTCTCTCACTCTCTCTCTCTCTGGTGCACCATTTTTCATGATTAGAAGAGAGACTACAACTGACTTGCAACATGGATGTTTTAATGTCCACAAATATCACAAACCTGGAGGAGCTTCAGCCATGTGGTAGAGTTGCTAATGCTAATGGTAAACTTCTAGCCCGCATGTGACAGTGTGACACAGATCTGTCAGGATTTTCAAATCCTAGAGTTTCACCATCTATTTTCAGTCTCCATGAAAAACTCAGAGTGACTGATTACATAAAAATGGTTTTCTAGTGTTCCACGCTCTGGCCAACAATCTTGTTACAGATTGATTTTCCAACACAAAGGAAAATCTGGGATATTCTGTTGGGGCACCTAAAAATTCCAGAATGATCAGTTATTTGTGTTTTATTATAACGTAAAATATTCAACATTTAAGCCATCCCCCTGAAATGTTGAGTTTTGTTGTGAAGTGTTTTGGTTCATAAAATAATTCAGTAACACACACACAAAAATAAACCACTGAAGAAAACAAAGACTTGGTATCAAAACGTTCAGCGAGCAAAACAGAAAAGTTGTATTTAATTCTACTGAGATTCTAGCTGTTTTTACAGCAGCACATCGAGAGACGTCTGCGTCCGGAGGCACCAGTAGCCAAACATTAACACAAGGTGACAGCTCTGCTTTGCTTGCCTTTTTACATCAGCATAACCCATGACACATGAAACGCTCTCAGGGCAACAATAAGGGCTCCTGCTTTCACTTACATCTATAATGAGTAAAATTCTGATCAAACCTAGCCTGGATGGTGAAGGGAAATGCTCTAAATCTGTCTTCCTCTACGTGTGACTTCTGATTTCCCCTGCAGGGCAGAAGAGCAGCTATGAGTGTTGCCACAGAGGCAGCTGGCTCCCCTCAGGGCTTCTGGGTGTCATGGAAGCCAATAGCACCACCCATGATGCACACGGCCTTGTCTTTGACTTAAGCACCTGGAATCAGCAGACCAGCTCAAAGGCGGATTTTTCTAAACAAAGCTTGGAATGTTGTTTCTGACCAATGAAAATGGCAATGTTATTTAGATCACATGACTCCATAAGGATATAGGGGTACAAAATTAATGAGGAATAAAAAGTATTTCTCCTCCAGTGCGTCCCTTTCAGATCCGTGTTTGACATTCCTTAATTACGATTAAATCACTTGCATCAAAAGCATTTCAACTCAAAACGTTTTGTAAATAGGTTAAATGTAATCTTGAAATATTATCCTAAAAAGAGCACAGAAAAGTATGCAATGATTCAGCAGAGATGTTCAAATTCAGAAATGTCACCTTATGCATAAATAAGGATGCAGCACACGATGGTATGAAAGTAAAATTGCAATGAGCTCTAACAGCACATACCATGACCATCAAAATAAAAACGAATATGTTTGAAAACATACACAGAAGTGTGCCATTGGATCATGCTATAAAGAGGTTTTTAACCAACAAAATCTATGTTTTCATTAGGCTACATTACCAGTATGGGTGGAGAATGGCTACACACCTAATGACTTAACACAAAGAAACTAGTTAATCCTGTTTATTCAACACTATGAATAAAGTATCAGAACAAGTGTTTTCATTTGGTGTTAGAGCTATTAAAATCTAACTAAAAGCACTACAGAAACAAAAAAGGCTCAGGACACCAGTCTGAAGGTCGAAACTCAACAACAAACAAATATTTTAGCACCGAGGGTTATTTGTTGCTTTCAATTTTACCAATAACTCTGATGCCTGTGAAAAAGCATGACCAGCAGGGGGAGCCCAAAAAGTTTCAGCGACTTGTTTCTCTGAGCTTCTTTAATTCTCGCGAGATTTCCGTTTTCCTCCTCTTTCACTCCCTGTAGCCAACATGGCAGTCGGCAAGAATAAGAGGCTGACCAAAGGCGGCAAAAAAGGTGCCAAAAAGAAGATGTAAGTTGGGGATTTATGCACCGTTGTCCGTAAAAGACTTTAGAATTTTATTTTATTCCGTTTCAGTTAATGAAAAATGGAGGATGAATGTGATACACAACAGATTGTAGAGGGTTGACGCAAGTCCGTCGTCGCCGGCCTCTGTCGCTTACTGTTCAGACATGCTCGTTTCTTCAGGCATTGTGACACTTTTAATAAGAAGCTTGTTTCACTCGGCACGCAGCGCCAGCAAATGTTATTGTTTGTACGTCACAGACAACCATGTAGTGTGTATCTTGCGTTGCTGCAATCTTTCATTTAAGCTAATAGTTGCTAAACCTTAGCATGTAATCTTTGTGTCTACCGGATCTGCCAGGCTGTACGTCTTCATGTGAGCCGTAAGATAAATGGTTTGGTATAAACGCAACTGGTATGGATTAGGTCATTTTAACCATGTATGTGAAGGTGGTGGTGTGTAGGACATTAACGTTTGACGCATGCTAATTGGGTGTATCTGAGTTTGGGTTCATGGCTAGCGTTAGCACACGTCCAGAGGGTTGTCCATCTTAGCATTAATTTTTCATGACTTTTCTCTTACAGTGTGGACCCTTTCTCTAAAAAAGACTGGTATGATGTTAAGGCACCAGCCATGTTCAACATCCGCAACATTGGCAAGACCTTGGTCACCAGGACTCAGGGAACCAGTAAGTCTGCATTGCGTTGTGGGTCAGCATGCAGGTCGATACACTTCCATGTATGGTTGCTGTACTGGGAAACTAAATTAAATGTATTGGAATTATTTTAGCCATATAAAGATCGGGTTAATCAGAAGTACATTCAAATATGTTGGTTCAGGTTGGTTTTCAAATATTTCTAAGTAATTTACAAAAGTAACACGCTCAACGGAAACTCTATTTTCAAATGACATGATGTCACACAGAAAAGTCAGTGCAGAGTCCTA